GAAAGCACAGAAGAAACAGGAGAACATGATCTAATTAGTTGATTAGCAAATAGGGGCATAATCTAAAACCGCAGTTCTTTTTTTGCCATGTCTAATTGCATGCATGCCAAGTGATTTAGTTCGCATAGTTAATCACGCGAGAATTAGTACGTAAAATAGACGGATGGTTTAGTTTTTCCATATCGATAAAAAGCGATCGATGTACTTACTTGTTCATCACGAAATTAATGGTGCCTTGAGAGGCTCGTTCCAGCAGAATCTGCCTTGCCTCCACTGCAATTCCTTCGGGCTGCACCACGAATAATCATTAGTTTGGTTCCTTAAGACACATTGATACGAAAGATAGCATAAGATTCTGCTAATCGTATAGGGCTAATCAATGGTTGTTAATTACCTCTTCTGGGAACCAAACTCCAGGCTGTGTGCTTCCCTCGAGGACTGCTAAGGCGAAAGCAGCAGTTGCAGTACCAACGCATCTGGTTTTTTCACAATGTCAGCTTCATAGTTTCACAAGCTCTAATACCATACAATATAAGGATTAGGTCAAGCAGAGGTGTTCAGAGATAGGACTTACTGTGAGAGGCTCTTGTGACTAAACAAGCCAACAGTATCTCGCCCGTCTGTACACTTCAGGTCAATCTGTTTCCCAATCACATTAGATAAACAGATTTCGAGGCATTAGTTCAACTTCAGTTATGGAAAGCACCATGTAATAACACTACTAATAGTTCATTAGTTAGATTCAAGGTGTCTGTCTTCTAAGTGTTCTCACCCTCATTGCAACACGTTCTCCGGCAAAACCATCTACTGCTCGCACAAGAGGATCAAACAACTGTACCATTGCACCCACTTTGCTTCTGTCTTTCAGGAATTCCTGCAAAAGAAAAGCTCAAACAATCTCCAATGTTATCAAGCAACATTAATGGCTCTTGCAAGCAGCTGAGATTGACTTATTTAGAGACCCATGTTCTCTGCTTCTGTATATGAATAAACATGAGAATTTTCAATAGTTGGTATATTTCTCTAGATACTAAAAACTTTGGACCTTGTCGGAATCTCTATCTACCCATTTGATCACCAAATAAGAGCCTCGTAGGAACTATATCGTCAAATAAGCAAACTGTTTTTAGAAAGGTACCTGAGGAAGAAGATTTGCCATGACTTCCATGCCCCAGTTCCAGAAGAAAGGAGCGGTTCCAAATCGAGCACTGACTGTTGGTATTCTCAAGATCTCATGAGCACTATGTACCTCAGGTAAATTCCTGCATGTGTAAGGCTTCATAAGTATGCAGCCGGACTAGCTTTGCATAGTTATAATAGAAAATATCCGCAGATAGATTAGTTGCCCAAAACAGTAAAAGGCTCGAACTTCCGTTATGTGATGTCTATGCCAAATTTGGGCAAGACTTAAAGCTTCTTTCGTATATACCATTAACAAATAAATCAAATATATTCAGTAATGTTTGCTTTTCTGATCAGAGCAAACTACAAACTACACAATGAAAGCTTTTGCTACTCTCTGGGAGCAATTTTCTTTCATACCGAACTTACTTACAGCAGGTAAACATCTCTGCTTCCAATCCCCTTCCCGAAATCAACGTTGACCATCCCACTAAACGGCTTTAACTTGACCTTTTCTCCTGATCAAGTATAAGATCATACGATTGATTACACCTTGTTGCAGTAGCACAGAAACGACTCTCTACCCTACTTCGGGGGGAAAATCACATGGAATCTTAAATCTTACCTTTATTATAAGCAACAACATCTTCACCTAAAAGTAAGAAGCTAGTGGCCAAAACAGTCGGGCCAGCTCCACCGCTGCCCGCTGTATAGTAGTAAAACCTAGAGAAGAACATACTGAAAGCATAAATTGCCTGTAAATTTTGAAAGCAAAGATGTCAAATTTGCTTGAATTCTCATTCATGATGAATATGATCTAAGCAGATTACCTGAGGCTCTTAGGCTCTCTCTCACTCTCACTTGTTGCGACTCGAACTAGCTCTGCCGCCATCACTATCATGACACCACAATCCACAACATAAGAACCTACAGATTTTTCTATTTTAGGACATCGAAAGGGCAAGAATCTATCTCACAATTGCTCACTCCTGGATAGATTCCACCAGCTGTTATTGCAGGAATCCCTGCAGCTACGGCCTTATCCTTGAATGACTTTGCTCGCAACGCAAAATTTGTGTCATCACAAACATCCACATATGCTGTCTGTCATGAGCACACATGATCAAAGAACATGATGTTATTTATGTTAAAGCAAAATGCTGGTAGACAGTGTGAGGAATATGACTGAAAAGACGAAGGACAAAGAAGTATAGAATTACCTCAGCTCACCTTGGTCTCTATAGCAGCTTCAAGCACAGCGCATTTGTCAGTCTGCTGAAAAGGTCCAGCAGTATGAACTACAAGATCCACTCCTGCAGCAGCCACAGCAACAAAATTCAAATATCCCTAACCAGAAATTACCCTAAGAAAAAGAACAGAAATTCAAGGCCGTTCACCATCCAAAGCTGCTTCCAGTGACTCCACATTTTCAAAATCCACCTCCACTAAAGAAGAATTCCTCCCCAGAGTAGCCACCATCGCTGCACCCTTTTCCCTGTCCCCCCATTTCCAACAAAATTATCAGCTCAGTTTTCAAATCACTCCGCCACTAAATTAAAGAAGCAATCTTTTTCTTCAAGTTAATAATCAACCCTCGTAACCCTTGATACCCACTATAGCAATAGGGTGTACGCTTAATGGGTAATGAACAATCGAACTTGATTCCCCCCCGGTTGCTGACCTGTTCCGATCGCCGACGGCGATAGAAAGATTAGGGGAGAGCTTGGAAAGAGCAACGGCGGTCGAACCCCCGACTCGACCCGCCCCGCCCAGAACCAAGACCTTCGACCCCTTCAATTTATCATCCTCCTTACTACTACTGCCGCCATCTTTCGCACAGGCGGTTATGGCGAAGCTCCCATACAACGCTCCCGCCATTTTCCCCCGGTTTTCCCTTGTACGTGTTCTTCCATTTCCCTCTTCCTCGTTTCTTTCTTATCCTATCCCCACCACAATTGACACGTGACCCATTCTCAAGAAATGGACCTAACCTAAGGCCCACATAATCGCCTCGAGCCCTCGACTTGCTCTCGGCCCACGCTCTACTACAGGCCCATATCCGAGCCCGAAACGGATTCTTTCACCGGAAAGGAATCCTCTTTCTTCCTCAATATATAAGAACAGAGACACCTAATTTTGAGCTAAATAATTCAGTCTCTTCCGTTAATATTCTTCTCAATCGGCGATTGCGAACGCCGACGACATGCTTTCCTTCTCCACTCTCACTTCAGACATCACCACAGCGCCGTCTGCGGCGGCCGAGTCCCATGGCGGGAACGTATGTGAGGAACAGGAAGTCAACTCAGCTCCGAGACAACCGGTGTTCGAAACTAGCAATGACAGCGGCGTTTGGCGGCGGGTTGATATCCTAGAGAGATCAGGCCTGGCGTCGAAGTCGGTCGAAGAATTGGTCCGAGAAAGCGACGGTGCGTGGAGGAGGGTTGTCGTGACAGGGCATTCCAAGCCGACGGCGGCAGAGAGTGCGAGCTCTGAGGCAACGGTCGTACAAGGCGGTGGCGGGAATCGGGAAGTAAAGAAGAAGAGCATTAGGATTAGAAGGGCAGTATGATTCTTCCGGCTGCTTGATAAGGATAATAGTCAAGATTTGGATCTGATTCAATGGCGTGGGATACGCTGACTTCCTCTAATAGTCTAATGCCTTGTGAGATTCACATTCATTTGTCTATGACAAAAAAGAATATATTAATTTTTTTTTTAATTAATAATTTAATATGGATTTTCTGAAATTTAAATCCTAGTATAACTCTCTATCTCTCTCTTCCTTTTCCAGCAGCTACTTCGCTTCGGCCGCGATGAAATCCTTCCGACAAGGTGCAAAAATGTATCAGTGCGTTAAAAAATGTATCAGTCCATTAGTCTAGTGGTAGTGATTTTTCGAGTGGTAGCGTATCACTCCATCTGGTACCAGATGAAAATCATTAACCCTAGAAAAGGGAAGGAGAGGAAGAGTAGTGGCAGAGGGACGCACACCGAAAAGACGAGTAGAGGAGGCGACGATGGCATCAGTGGATGAGGGCGGCGGCAGAAGAGGGCGGCAAGAGAGAGCTGCCAACAGTAGGGGGGTGGAGGGAGGTAGAGGATTGCAGATGCGGTGGTGATGGTGGTGGAGGGCTCGGCGGGGGTGGAGGGAGGCAGAGGGTTGCGGGACGACTGCGGTGGAGGGCACGATAGGGATGGAGGGAGGCGGAGGACGGCGGCGGTGGAGAGCTGCGGCAGTGCCGTCTGCAATAGAGAGGGAGGAGTTAGGTTTTTTTTATTTATATGGAAGAGAGAACGATTTAGTGTGGTAAGTTTTTTTCCTTCCAAAAATACCCTTTGTTTAATCTTAATCATTAAGTTGAAAAAGAGAAGAAAGAGACATGAGAGAGAACGTATCCAATGGCTACAGAGTGGGTTGTGATTTTCACAACCTTCTAAGGGGTTGTGCTGTTATCCCACCCCATTAATTGAATTTGCCTTAGGAGAATGATGTTCCATTTTAAGACTGAATTATGTATAACTAGTGACCATTGATCATGAATTTGGCTTTTATAAATATACGGAATGGGAAAGCCCGCAGCCAAAACAACAAAAATATACAAAGAGAAACCCTACTAAAAGTACTTTTTCTATCTGTTTTTTTTTTTTCTTTATAATGGTGAGCTTTTATAAAAAAAAAAAAAGAGTTCTAACAAAACCCAACGGGTCGGGGAAAAAAAGGAAGACCTAAAACAAAAAAGGAAGACCCTTTTTCATCTGTTTGTAATGTAATATGCATTTCCTGTTTAGCAGTGAATAGTAATTCACGACCATCATAGACCTGTGCTCCTTATATATATATTTTTTTCTTTTAAAAAAATAATCATATATATATTGATTGAACAAATAGATCATTACATCCTGAAAATTAGTCAGACCTGAAAATCAAATAAACGACTCGCAGTCGGGTACAAAGAAATGGTCTTCCTAACTACCAAATAAACTACCCTATTGTGACGCCAACCTACAAATCGTACACCGAAACCTCTATTCATATCAAAAGCCTGGATTACTTCTTCGAGGATCGACCTGTGCTCCTTATATCTCCGTCTCTATTTTTCTGCATAAAAAACCATGAGCACAAATGTTAATACAGCAGCACTTCCAAAGTTGCGGATACTTGCAAGAGAACACTAATGACTTACACTAGCAAAGTCAATCTCTCTGGGCATATTAACATTATTTACACACGTCTTAGCTGCACATCCAGAACAAAAAAACCTTAGCCTTGCCAACTAATGGAGCTAAAGGGAAGTAGCATCACTTGGAGAAGAGCTTGACATGGGTTAAACATTCTCCAAAGATGATCTTGATTGAGAAGTAACAAGGGCGTCATGATGAGCATGTTCAGCATTGCTACCGTGACTACAAAGAACTCAGTGATGTGAGGAAGAAATTAATAGAAGAATCAGCTGAAACCATACACAGCCTCCGCAAGTGCATGTTAACTAGTAACATGCAATACCTTACTCGTGAAACTATGTCTATTTAGCAATGTAGTTGAGCAATACGAATTCAGATACTAAAGAGCAGGCACAGACCTCAAAGTTGCCATGTGATACAAACAAGAAAGAAAATAACTAATCAAATGAAACTACCTCAAGTTGCAACCAGCATCTAAGAACTACAGCATTCTTACCCTAAACAAGTCTCCACACTCCACATAGAAAAGAATGTATCTAATAGGTTAAGAAAAAGATGAAAGAAAAGAACAACTACATATAGAAAAAGCATACTAATATGCGATAAGTTTCCTAAGGAACACTGTCAAACACACAGCAAGAGCAAGTCACTAACCAGCCATTCATGTTGCTGACATCGGGATTTTCATTCTCTTGTTGCCAACCATATTGCATGTCTTACACTTCAGGCTGAAAGATTTGATTGGCAGCATCAGTAGCAGCAGACAAGGCAGAGCCGTCCATAGTTTCTGGTGTGCAACAATAAAAAAATAAGCTTAAGAACAATATCAAGTTGATAACAGAGACATCTTCCATGTTTCAAATGTATGGAGGGTAGACCACTGTAAGTGCAACTGCCCATAACAAACTGACCTTCCTCACTCTTGGATATCTTTTGACTGAGACGAGAATGGGTAGACATTGAGACACCACCCATGGACAGGCTGCAACGATGATGGCTGACATAACATCTTTGAAGACACCTCAAGACAATTTGCCCGGGGGGAAATTACCCCAATCAAGAAGTGAGATCCTCAAACTTTTCTATCATTTCCAATTGAGATTTTGAACTTTCACATGAAACTAAGAGTCTCTGAATATCACTTCCATAATACAATAAACCAACCATTTCATACTCCTAACATTTTAAAAATCAGTTTCACCTCAGCAAATAGATTAGCTTCACAAACAAAAACAACCTTAGATAAATAAACAAATGCTAGCGCCTAAAACCACGGAGCCGGCAGTAGCACAGAAAAAGTAACTCTAGTACTCATGCTTTGCATCATAATCTTCCGATAGATAACAACCATTCGAAGAACAGTTTCAACATCTAGCTTATGTCGGGCATAACCTAGAGATAGTGCATGAGCATCTCTTTTAACTTTGCAAAGATATAACTAGCGCGTTATCGAGGGAAGGAGAGAGGGAGTGACTGCTGCTTTGTTGGCGCTCTGAGCGCAGAAGTTATAGGTCCCGTCGTACATGCCTCGCAACTCCTCATACCTTGGAATTGGAGTAGGCCAGCAATGGACACGAGGCTGGAACACCATAAAACGAGAGACAGCAGGGCCCCCTTCTAGTTTAGCAAATAACTCCACCTCTTCTCTTTGCAAATCCCAGGACAATATAGCATTTGTTTTATCACCAGCACGCCAATTGAATAAGACAACTTCCGGCTTGTATGGATGCAGACACAGTTGATGAGAACAGCTCTCAACTTGATAGTTGCCACACCTTGATGTCTTTTTGTTCAGCAACCCCTCACATAGTTTCCTCCAAGATTTCCTGTCTACTTCTAGTCTCCAAACGCTTAAACGTCGAACAGGTACTGCTTTGTCTTCAAATGCAATAACGTGCAACGCGCCTTGTGAGAGCGAAATCACCCACCAAGGTTTCGCAGCAAAAGCAGAAACATCAATAGCAGTGGGGCGTATATCACGACGGAAAGGATTGAAGGCAGCCACCAAACGATTAATCCGACCAACTTCCAACTCTTTGATTTTATGATGCGACCAGAACAACTCCCCATTGCAAGAAACTACACTTTTGTTTCCGCACCTGAGATAACCACTAAGAACAAGGGCCTCCTGAGTCCATTTCCCAGACTCTGAACAAAACACGTCTAGTTTTGTAGACTGCATATGTTGATAATAACACACCACCTTGAACCGATACTCAGAAGAATAAACAAACGCTTTGTCATCTCCTAGATCAAATTTCTTAGGATCACAGGGTTCACAAACTAACCTCCCAACGTCTTCTTTATACCCAACAGGCTTTTTGGGCGCTAGAGGAAGGGCAATCCATTGCTTCGTGAACAGATTGCAGACCAAGTACGATCTCTCCAATTCGTTATTGTCGCCATATATATCCCAAAATCCGCACAAGAGCAAGTCTCTGAAGCAATCCAGAACTCTTAAAGGGGCGTCTCGAACGTACCTAAAAGGAGGCATGGGAGGGACTCGAACGTGTCTGAGGGGTATGCGTTGGAGGAAGCTCCAGATGGCCGATTGCAGCTCGTTTGGATCCTCCGGCATAGGAAGTTGGTTAATGCTCTGGTGATGATAAACGAAACGCCGATTGAAGCAGAGACTGGAGATGAGGGAGCTCCAGCGCTTGCAGACAGATTTACAGCGGCAGGCGAATCTAGGGTCGGGGAGGCGAATAAGAATCTGTAGGAGGAGATCGTCTCCGAGCTGGCATATTATGGAGGGAGGGTTTACTCCTGAACGGATCCGACGAAGGCGTTTCCTGGGGGAGGAACGGCGAAGCAGTACGCTGAGCGGCAGATCCCAATCCAAATCGCAGTTCTCGGTCACCATGGCGGTAGATGGATGCAAGAAAGATAGCGCCGGCGGCGGAGGAGAAAGGATGCGGTAGTCGATCTGTTGGCACTCAAACGGAGGAATTACGCTTTTACCTTTTTAGTTCATCAAAACGCTTTTACCTTTTTAGTTTATCAAAACGCTTTTATGTAGAATTGTGATTTTCCTTTACAAATGTAGTCAAAATCTGCGCTTTAAAACTTAACAACTTACGGTTTTACACTTCTAGGTCACCCAACCGCTTCTAACTAGAATCGCGCTTTTAACTGCATTGGTTATTACTACGTCCATCTAATAATTGTGAATCACGACTCCCGTAATTCAACGAAATGCGAAAAATGTTCACACCAAAACTCACGTACAAATGCCGAGAACATGAAACCCAAGGTTTCCGAAATCCTGATGAGATATGGATTCCAAAATATTTCTCAAACCAGACTGAACGACCACTTTTGTTCCTCGCGATACATCTCTGCAATTCTCTCTCGGGCGAGTACAACAATGGACAAGCGTAGAAGCATAAGACAGCATTCTTTGATCAAATGGGAAGAGAAGCAGAAGTGAGTGCATCCAGATTACAGCTCTTACTTCTGGTGTATGAGACCTTAAAGTTACAAAATTGATGGGAAGGAAAATGACAAGAGGATTTACAGCCGACACGACCGACTCCATTCTCGCTGTTTGTGAAGGTCCTCTTACAGTGACAGAGTGACAGTTTCCTTGCCAGGAGAATAGTAGTAAAGCATCTGAATGAGGAGCTTTAAGCTGACAATCTCTGGAAGTGAATGAACCATGGACTGGTCTCTCTCTCTCTCTCTCTCTCTCAAACGGTTGCCTTTCGTCTCCCGGAAGCACCTTCATCCTCAACCTGATACGAAGCGAAGAAAAAAATACGTGCATTTCCATATCAGGTATAGCAGAATGAAACTATTATCTGCAGCATTTGTACCCACTGTTCCTATGTCAATGTAGATTTGTCGATTGTAAATAGTACTAACCTCCACCAGCACCCGTGGTTTCTTCTTCTTAGCTTCATCCTTACCCAGCTTCCCATGAGCGGAACCGGACCTTTTCTTCTCATTTTTGCCAACTGCATCCATCTCTTCATCGTCCAGTTCATCACCTGTTTTGGAGTCAGGAGAGCCTCGGGTCAGGTTATGTTTCCGGTAGTTGGGGGACAGGCCAGCTAGGTTAGGAGGATATAAGGACCTCGAGCCCTTGAGTTCAGTTACTTGGTTTTACAATTAACAAATAAAACAAGAGATGAAAAAAGAATTCCAATGCCCACATCTGCAACCAAAACAAGAGAACTTTACCATGATCCTCTGGAAACTCCATAGCTAATTTGCCAAAATCTTCAATGTCATCTTCCTCTTCCAGTTCATCATAATCACCTTCAAGGTATTCTACATCATATTCCTCCTAGTTCAAAAAATCATTGTTAGTGTAGGAACTCCAAATATTGCTCATCCTTACAGCCGTCCAACCCAATTACATACCTCTTCCTCTTCTGGGGCATCAATTTGGGATTCTTCCATGTCAAGAAGATTTTCGAAATGCTTAAGAGGATAGTTATGGATATCGCCGTAAACGTTTTTGTTGAGCCGCTCCACCAACTCTTTCTCAATACTCTGCAAAGCAATCAGTCAGAACTCAGAACTTGAATAGAGTGGCCATAAGAATGCGTCCACTTACAGAAGGTTCATAAATTACCTTGTCCAAAACAGCTGCCTTTTCAGCTTTCTCCAACCTTCTTGCATCTCTCTTGATCTCTTTTCTAGGAAGTGTAACTACCTTCTCACTGCAGCCAGAATGGGAACGTTAACATCTTTATCATATAATATACTTTTTCAGGTCTTGCAGCAGCAGGAAGCTCAAACGATAATAAATTAAAACTGGCCCAGTTCCTCCCATAGCAATCCAGAAATTCATAGGGCAGTTTTTTTATGTTTCTTTCTCAATTCTCTATACAGCTAGCTAGGCACCTGAACCGCCAATTCAAACAACAAAAGAATAAGTTACTAGTGACTGAACAAGTGTTGCTCTTTGATATCTTTCAACAACGAAATAGTTTCTATACAGTGGCGCTAAGTCGCACTTGTTACCATTATGACTTCAACAATCATTATGAACTACAGTCAACATTTGTGTAATTTATCCTCAAGTAAGAACTATAACAATGTAAAACCGAAGCACATTCAACTTGATGACTAGAACCAAAATCAATGGTTGGTTAAACGATTTACATCGTTCTGTCTGATTGCCAATCATTTTGATTCCTGAATTTCTGGAGTTAATCCTGTTTCCAGTCATTTTTTTCATAATGATCTATCTTGTCCATCACTTAAATTGAGCAACTAGACCAGCTGCCACTGGCCTTCATTACCATTGGAATTGCATGAAGACCTTGTATTTAGAATATCTAGAAAGCCATGGTTTATGCAGGAAACTAGCAATGAACATAGCTAGTAAATTTTTCACCCAGAAAAGAACGAAGCTAGCGAAGTAATCTATCGACTAAAACATGAAAGATTCGTATTTTGTATACTTAACCAAAAGCCGCTATTCTCTTCAAGAGATAAAGAAGAACGAAAAAAGGGGGAGGCAACAAAAAGCACACAAAAAATAGCTGTAAATGAAGAGGAGGAGCAATACGGACCGTGTTTTTAGAGCAAGCTTCCGCATACGAATACGCATCTGAGTCATTTTTGTAAGCCGCTGCTTTATTTTGTGAATAAGTAACTTTGGCCAGTACATCTACAAGTTCCAGCAGGATGAAAATGAACCAAGAAGAGAGAATTGAGTTTATGGAAGAAATACGCACTCAGCTGCTGCCAACATGAGAACAAAAACAAAATCCAAGCAATATGATGAAACACTAGAAACCACTTACTAGATGCTTGTCAATAATTTCAAGTGCCTTCTCGTAATTCCTCGGCAACTTCACTCGTTCCCACAACTGGTTCGGCTTATGAGCTCTCTCTATGGTTTTCATGTACAGATAGAAGACACCTAAACACAAGTTGACCCAGATAGAATCAGCCCCATTAAGAATCACAAGATCTTCCACCATTTCCATCAAAGCCAGTGCATTCACTTGAAACTAAAAGCTAAGGGGATGTACACAAAAACACACCATCGTGGTCACGGATAGTGGCGTATCGACTGTTGGCGAGGGGACAAGAACTCCGATTGCAAATGCCAGTGACATTATACGGGTTCCTACAGAAGTTCCCTGCCGTTATCCTGCACATAGACAATATCCAGCAGAGCTAAAGACTCGCAATAACAGAGGAGCAGAAGAGTTAAGAATGTAGAACTCGTACGTGGAAGCCTTACTTGGCCATGAAACTGCAGTGATTGTGCCTGATAACTTGCCATATGACCTCATCGTGCTGCATAATGTCTGTTCAGCAAAAGGGGAGAAATCATATTATCACCGACTAATTCTTCACGAGACCGATGCAAGAATCGACAAATTTAATTGAACGAACATAGTTCCAGAGAGGCGATACCACTTACCTGAAGACGGCGAGCCAGAGACCAGCGAGCAGCGGCAGGAATGGACTCCGCGGGAGAAAACCTAAGTGGAAGGTTTCCGGCGGCGTTAGGACGAAAATTTGAGTTATGGTCTGGAAGCGGTGTATTTCGAATTTTTTCTATTTCCCCTTTTCGTTTGACAAAAAAATGGGGTTTAGGGTTTTAGTTTGGAGTTGGACCGGAGAGAACCCAGGAAAAACACACATTAAGTCCCTCGAATTTCACACCTAGTCGATTAAGTTCATGTACTTTAAACCGGGTTAATCAAGTCCTTGAATTTTCATATTCTTTCGGTTGCCCACTTATTAAGTTATATTATGCTCCTATACCATATGTTCATGTAACCAACATGCTCCTAGACTATCGATTTTGAATTAGAGAAGAAAAAATACATATGTACAAAGAAAACGATGAATTATGTTGTAGTGAATGTGTTCCTATGGCATAACTTTGTTTTTGCCGTCAAGTTTGGAAAAACTATTTTGGTATCATTGTGCCAGGAAGCACATTATTTGACTTCCGGCCTACAGACTTTTAGCTGAATTGGAAGATGGAGCAGCGGATCCTATTTGGAGGACTATATGGCACTGGAAGCGTTCGAACAAGATAAAGCACTGAATGTGGCTCCTAGCGCAGAATGCCATGTAACATTAACAACGATGAATGAAAATGGAGTACGACACGATGGATCATGACGTTATGAGCATGGTGTAGTGAATGTGTACCACCTGAATCTCTGGAGATTTTGCTATCCTAACTTGGTCCAAACTCCAAGCAAAACTTATTTGGAGTTTTAGGAGTATATCTCTATCGCTGAATAACAAAAAAGGAGGAAACTGTGTTGAACATATCGACCTGCGTACCAACTCGATCGACCTGAACAACTAAAAGGTCGATCGTTTGATGCTCAATCTTCTTGTGCCCTATGAAATACAGTGCTATGAGTTCCTTATGGTATATACATCTTCCCTTAAAACAATCAGATTGAGGTTAACACAATTGATCGTTATAAACCACACAAAGTATATCACATATTGTTACTATAACCATAGTATCTCTCGATCATCCTGTAAAAGTTTTCGACTCAAACTTCTGATAAATTTTATTGCAAGAGTCAAGACAAAGTTGTCATAGGCATACCATGAATGTTTGGTTGCTCAAATTATTTAATGTGAATTCCAAGTTTCCAACTGTCTTCTATTGGGCAGCCAAATAAGAACTTGTGCCCATATATATATTTGATTATCCCCACAAAGATATGATCATTGATTAAGAAGGGAAAACTGAAAACGAAAGAAAGCAAAATCATACGAAAGAAATTGCATAGGAGGAGCCCACGAAGGATATGGAAAGTTATGGGCCGGGGTGGGTACCTTATGTATGTGTAAAATTCTTTGTGAAGTTGTGTTCCATTTAAATGTGGCCATGGCTGAGTTTTGTAATTGAATCAAACTTAGTAGATTGATGTGACAAAATACTTAGCCAAATGGCAAATTGAATTCGTCTAAAGTGACTTACATCAACCATTATATCTCAACAATAAATTTGATTTGATTTTCATATGGAATTAGTATTAACGAATTTGAAACAGGCTATTTATAGAATTCGAAATGTATTCAAGAGACGAGTCATATTCATATATATAATAAAATAACCACAATCAACCAACACATTTTAGATGAAAAATGGCGATTGATCTCATTTGTACCGTACCGCTGACCTCGCGTAGAAATAAACCGTACGCGTCTATGAGCGAATATTGTCCATTCTCATGGGTAGGTAACCAAGATCCAAACATCTTCATTCATTTGAGACACCCTGTACATCATGGTTTGGGATTATCAATTAATGCGTTGCTAATGGAACCAGATGTTTGAACTTGACGGAGTTCGGAATAATGATATCACTACTTTTGTAAATTTCACCAATTTGTTTTGTTATTTTCGATGTGATTTAGTGTTATCATTTTTTTAATGAATAAGTGAATTTCACACCATTTCGAGGTGTTAGATCATTTGTCAACTGTGAATGATAAAAAAAAAACTGAGAGAAGAGGTTTACAGTTGGCTGGCATGGTATTTAGATGTGCCCGAGTGGAGCTTAATTCTCTATGGTCACTCGTCAACGGGAAGTCCATATCTCCCACATTTATCGGGAAGTCCATAATTAAACTTAGGTTTTGAAAAAACGATTAATCGCTTTCGTTTTATTACATTTTAATTTTTTTTTAACATATGAATAATGACTGTACACGTTATATCTCTCGCATACAGAGTCACGCTCTTATCATTCTATATGTGCGTAAGCCTAGTTTTTCGATGTTAATTTGATGCAGCACTTAGTGATAAGACTATTGGGTCTGAACCTGAAGTCTGTCTTCTCTTATGAAGTGTGTATTTCATGTGTCAATTGTTCGACCATGATAATTTTGTTGACCACGATTTTGGTATATTTATTCATATTTTTTTCTAAGTGCGATTGATTCATAATTTTCACGATTTATTGTTATTCGAACAACCGTGAAAAAAAATAAATGAAATTTTGTATGTGAGGAATTTAATAATTTATAAGAATAAGAATAATTTAATAATTTATTTGGGGTAATAAAAATATAATTTATTTGGTGGGTAGGGGAAAACGAGAATATTGGAGCAGACTTTTTGCAGCTTATCGTTTCTAGTCTTTGTGAATAACTTTCGGTTTTGATTGGGTCCCTCTCCCAGCCACCCTTGGATTTAAAGTGTAGTCCTTTTGCTAGTCAACCAATGAACGAAAATGACGAAATGGTTTTAAAGCTACTTTATTTATTCAATCACAATTTCATTACTTAATCTGGCAAGCTGGTAAAGGTTAAAAGTAATGGTGCAAATGGTTTGATCTATATTGCACCGTATCGAACCAAATCAACGATTAGATCGGATCAAGACATTGTATACTCCTAATTAAAAGAGCGGAAATATAACATATAAGACAGTAATATGATGAGGTGGGGCAAGGGAAAAGTCGAGCATTACAAGCAAGACAATCAACCTTTTTTTTTAACTCATTACTAGTGAATTAGATATGGATTCAGTTACATCTTTGATTGATTTCAACCATATGTGACAGATACACATAACATCGTCAATCGTCATCGTCAAATGCATATCTCGGTTCGCAGTGCCTTAACGAAGGGTTATGATGCTTATCCTTATATAGGAGTTTAGTTCAAAAAAGGGCTCTTACAATTTGTAGGTTGAATTTGATACACGAAATCTATTTCTCTGTATCTGTAAACATCGTATACCTCAAGTATTTGAGATTACATTATTTTTAGGCGTTTATAATTTTAATTGAGCACAAAGTATATAAAAAAATGATAATGAACACCAATATATTCGCATATTCATCTACAAGTTATTGTCATACTCATATTTTCGCTCCCAACACCCAACCAATCAACCTGATAAATATATCTTCATTATTCATATGTTCAAATTTATAAGCCTTCTTTATCAAACAAAAAATCAACCACCCTAGGAAAAAAATTACCTATTCCTGATTATATCTCTTTGCCGCCGGTCAGCGGGACCCAAACCGTTAGGCCGGCGCCGGTGGAGGGACCGGCCATTTTCCATTTTCCAATTGTTTTTCATTTTTTGTTTTTTCCGTTTTCCCAGCCAGGTGGTTTACAAAGTGGCACGTGCTCCAAATCACAGCCCCCACTAGACCACAACATAAATTAAAAAAATATTAAAAAAGATGTGTCAGCAGGAGCCAGCTGGCTATGAATCGAGTCAACCCTCTTCCACCCGACCCGTAAAACGGACGTACGGTCAGGATCACTGAATGAACACTGTACTATCTCCAACTCGTACGGCCCAGATCAAAGGAACTCGACAGCTAAGCTTTTCTGTCTGACTCCCCATTTTTGTACTGCTTCTTTTATCTCTGGTTTTTACCGCTTGACTGTTGGGCCGGGTGAAAGCAGGCCCTACCCAAAATGGTCCTCGATGTAAAATAAAAAGGTCGTGTGAAATAATTGGGTGGTGGGCTGGCTATGGGCCAGAGTGGACAGAGGGCGGCAGGAAAAAAAAAAAAGGAATAAAAAGAGAGGCCAGCTGGAATTAGCGGGACACAGCTGGCAACGTACGAAATCCCTCAAATACGCAGGGTCCTGTCGCCGTTTCCATCGCCACATTTCCCCTTTTGTTTACTTTTCCCCAACAACCACACACACAAAAAAATATATATATTAAATAGGGCGCATAAAGCGAATATTATGCGTCGGACATGCATATGATTCGACGAGAACCATTACAAATACGTTTAACAAAAAGGTATTGACAAATGGAATCGTACAATCTTGTATATTGGAACAATACTATGCATAGATGAAGGCTACGGGGGAGAGCATGCATACGTCCAGACGAGAATTGTCGTGCAGGCATTCGACGAAGCAAGTTACGTACTTTTGAGTCCGATGATATTTGATACGTAGGTATTTCAACAACCCTCCGTAGTCTTTCACAATGCAAACGATTCAAATTTGTGTGATCAGGAGCAAAAATAAAGCATTCAAACGAGTAAATATCTCGCGATAGCCGTTGTAATGTACTTTGATATCGGCTCAAATCGCGTTATAAACGCTCCATCCCGTGACCCATTCACCAGACTGAAACGAGACATTCGAGGTTCGAATTCTTCTTCTTTTTCTCTTTTTATGATCATAATCTCGTGACCATGAGTGGAGTATATATGCAATGAACATTTTGTCGAAGAAGATTGGAGTTTTGTATGTACGAAGTAGTAATGAAGAACAAGGTGTGGGAATGTGCGATGCAGCTGTATGTCTTCGTCCCTTTGTGTGGCCTTTTCCTCTCCATTATTTCATCCACTTCTTCTAATAAGGGACACCGCAGCCCCAAATGCACTCTCCAAGTACCCTTTTCTAGGGCTGCTCAGCTCCATTCCATTTTTTTTTTTTTTTTTTTTGAAGGACTGCTACTCTCTCCATCTCTGAAACCAATGCGGAAACCCGGCTGGCCACTGTCCACGAGTACCCTCCTTTCCTTCTGGTACTTCCTCTCTCTACCGTGTCTTTAGTTTCCCATTTCTGCCCCTAGGGTTATTTATTTACTTGTTTCATTCTCAGTAAATGGTGCTTTAATTGAGTGAATTTACATTCCAGTAGATGTTTTTGTTTTTATATTATTAACGTAAGTGTCAAATAGAGGCGGTAAATCCTAAAGAAGCCTTTGACTAACGATCGATCATTTAAGGACACATATGAGGAACGGGGTGAGATATCATGACAACCCCTGAATGAGTTGGAAAAATGGCATCCTCTATTAGTTATAGGTTTTTAAGTTAATTGATTTGTGTTGCATTTAATAATCTGTCAGAATTAAGAACTCATGTTAATTATTTCCTTTTTCCAGTGCGATGGTAGTTCTACCTAGGGGGTGGGCAACGATTCGATTCACATCGGACCGAATCGACTCTCACACTGAATCAGAGCGTACTGTTTATCTTTCGATTCGACTTTGGTTCCTGAATTTGGGACATTTTTCGGCTTTGGTTCAGTCCAGACCGAAATCGTAAAATCAAACTATGGACCGGACCGAATCGTAATTAACTTAATTGCCTATTTTATTAGGCTTTGAGCAGGCAACTAGACTTGGAGTTGAATACCCTAGTACCCTACACGACACTTAACTGCCTATAAATATGATATTTGACTTGTCGCTCCCGCTCCTATAGTCCTACCCTCAAATCAGAGTTCTCATCCGCGTTGCTTCGATCAAGAGAGATGCTTACTTTACCTACACACTGTGAACCAGGTATTTATATTGTGTTCTCTTTTCTTGTTTAATGTTTCATATATGGAGAAGATGCGAATAAATGACACAACAAAGGCTTCTGCCAAGTCTGACAACACCACTACAAATTAGCAAGGTTAAGAACCATTTGTTCTATTGCACTAGTTCTTGGAGTAGTTAAACTCCTTTCTAACGCCTTATATCATGTGCTTATATTGCAGAAGAGAGACTTTCTAATGAACAGTGGAAATTATGGAGATTGGGCGGTCCAACATGCACTCTTGGAAATGAAAATGGAAGATTAGAGAGGCAATTAGTTAGACTACTTTTGAGATTGAATAACAAGACTTTTGTCTTCTAGACAAGTAGTTCTCATTTAGCTTTTTGCACAATATTTTGGAACATGTGGTTTTTAAGAATGGTGGAGTATTTAAATTAGGAGAATTTTATTACTTTTTTTTTGTAGTTGCATTTTTTAATTCTTGTGTTGTCCTTTAAGAGTGATTTTATTCGAATGGAAGATTAGTCGGTCCAATGGGATGGTCCAAACCGAATTGAGCCATATATGGTTTGATCCAGACCAAATCGAAGTAATAACGATTCGACTTTGGTCCTTAATTTAGAAAAAAACTGGTCTCGTCCGAGGATAGTTTGGTCCGGTCTTGGACCGAATCGACCGATGCCAACCCCTAGTTCTACCAGTGCAATGATATTCGTGTACATGTGCAATGATAGTTAAAAAAAATGTAATTAATATGAGTTCAGTGTAGATGTGCAATGATAGTTATATCAGTGTAATGGTAGTTAAAAAAATGAATGTAATTTATATGAGTTTTTAATTTCCAAAGATTATTAAATGCAACACGAATTTAATACCATAATTAACTATAATTAATAGGGGTGTCATTTTTCCAACCCATAAAGGAATTAGCAAGCTAACCGATCCCCATCAAGAACACAGACATTACAAAAGCTAAAAAATGGTACCTTCGATTGAGATCAAGTAAGTATGCTCAAGGAGGTGATCAACAATGGAACTCTACTCATTGTGCATATGTCAAAGACAAAACATCTCATTTAGTGTACGAAAAGAAAATGTCGAGCGATTACTGTAAGCAAATTATGATCAAGTAAGTATGCTCAAGGAGGTGATCAACAATGGAACTCTACTCATTGTGCATATGTCGAAGACAAAACATCTCATTTAGTGTACGAAAAGAAAATGTCGAGCGATTACTGTAAGCAAATTATCTTATTCTATCATAAAAACTATTTGTTTAGATGGATCATTTTCTAGTGGTATAGATAAAAGTAAACAACAATTTATGCATGTATATAGTCTAGTGTGCAATCATTATTTGAAAACGGGAAAAGGGTATATTTGCAGATTTATATCCTAATTAAGAAATGCACAGTAACTACAACTTTGGTCAATTTTAGCCATAGATGGAGATTATTATGGGGTATGAAAAAATAATTTTCTCGGATTCTTGTTTCGAGTGGCTGTAGCGTAGGCAAAAATCAAGTACCCTAGAGATACTATAGAATCCAAGCTTCTCAAAAAACCTACACCCCATCATAAAACGGATAATTTTAATGGTCTGAAATCTAATAATTAATGACCACGTTAAATTTTGGAATGTTGTGTGTCACTGTTGTCTGAAATTAAAGCACCTGTAAATGACATGATTAACCCATGTGTACAAAAATCAGAAAGGTTGGTTTGTTGAAGTTGGAGTAATAGTTATAGAAGTGACAAATGGCTTTTTGGAGAGAAAAACAGAATTTTCATTTGATTATTTATCTCTAGTTATCTTTTGTACCTATATAGTGTTTGCAAAGTGGAGAAGTGTTGATATTTTATGTAATTAGAAAGATGTTTGGTGAATATTCTCGTATTGAAAGAAGAACAAGTTATCGAAAGAGGGTGTATTTGTAGATATTACTATATAGTGTTTGTAAAGGGAGTGTTAATATTGATCTAATTATCAAGATATTGTTGAATATTCTCGTATTGAAAGATGAGCAAGTTCTCATTTATAAGAAGAGCAAGCGTGTGAGTGATTTTTATTTATTGTCACGATAATCAGAGATTAAATTTCTATTGTTAATTTTAGGTGAACATAATTACAATCTTACATCAATATCTTAAATATAGTCAAACATACATGCAATGCTTGTAATGTATTTGGGAATTAGAAATATTTGTAAAAACTCTTTGCCCTCTTCTCCCCTTATCCGGCTCTTTAGTTATCAAGATTCAAATTCATAAGCTTCGATTATTTTACTTTTTACTCAACTTTTTAATGATGCACTTGTCGAACTCTAAACCGATTTCGAATAATCAAGTCAATATGATGTATGTTTTTGGTGATGGAAAAACATATTATTCAATAGGTCTATCAATTGATTGGATTTTGGTTTACAGGAGCCCAAATTCTAATCATAGTGGTAATTAAGTGTGTTTTAATATGCTTAAATTGCAATATACTATTGTGTGCTAAACTAATTTTTGTTTGTGTTTGAATATAAATAAATTAATAAAAGCTACTAGATATATATCAAATGTCAATTTCAATGTTATTTTTACGATTTACACATCACAAGTCTTTTTTAACCAAAAACAGAAAAATATATAATTATATATATATCACCACGTAAATGTCAAAGGACAAATAATTTTGTGCAGGGAAATAATATACCAATAACTGAAAATCAGTCTTAAAAAGCCAAAAAGGGCTAATGCCTTTTGCCTGCCCAACGAAACAAAGCATGCTGATAGGCACTATCATAGTACATGATTGACCAGAGGAAATTAGAGATTCCTTTTAGTTATAGATTCTCCATTTGCTAACGGTTTCAATTTAACTATGAAGTGAAAACTAAACCAATCAACTCTTGGGGGTTGGCAGAGAAATAATAGAATTATAGGCTAGTGTTACTATGTAGGGTATTTTAATGAGTTGACCTGGCTCGATGTTCAATTCGATAAAAATCTATTCGATTAAGAGAAAAATCGACTCGTTTATTAATGAGTCAAACTTGAGTTAAACCTTGTGTAGTTCGTGAACCAGCTCGACTAAAAGTGGTTTGTTGAGCTAAACTCACGAGCTCTCTCGTTTTAAGTTCATGAGATGTCTCAACGTTGTGATTAGTGAGCAAATTCGACTACCGGGGTTACGAGGAAATCAATATATATCTTATGAGTTGGCTTGTTGATAATTCATAGATTTATTGAATTGTATATCTCACATGTTTAAGATTTTGAGTATGTGAGCACATATGTCTCATATCTGACACGAGATCAGTCAATCACATGTATCATATATGACATATAAATATTATGATATAATTTATAAATTATCATATTGAGTTCGAGCCAACTTACTGATGAGTCATGTAGGTTGGAAGAAAAGAGTCGGCTCGAGCTCGACTCAGCTCGTTTATAAATGAGCTTATTAACAAGTCAAACCTAAACAAGGCAAATCTCGAGCTCGACTCAGCTCGTTTATAAACAGTCAATTTTCGTAACAAACGCTCACTAAAATTTGACGAGATTTAAAAGAATAATGTAATCCAAATTAAAAGAAACACATTTCACGGATCTATCAAGAATGCAACTTCATATTTCTACACTACTAAGCAAGTCACAATCCAAAGTACCATCTTTCTTTTTCCTTTATTTTAAAATTGCCAATGCCCCCTCCCCCAATTCGGAAAAAGGTCATAATCAAAAGAAGAGTCAAAACAATCAACAGCATCAAATCTCAATCAAAACCAAGAGGGGCAGTTTGGTAAACAACACCGTAGAAAAAAAAGTGATACCTAAATTAAAAGCAAAAAAGAACACAAGTCAAAATTCGCCATAAACCCCCAAAGATCTTCCAATCAAATTCAAAACGGTAAAAATAAAAAAACTAAAATAATTTCAATTATAAGTGACTCTAATTAAAATCCATACCTCGTCATTTTTCTTACATCACGCTCAGGGGCAAATCTGTCATTCTCTCACCCTTTATAACTCTCTCTCACCCCGTCTCACCCTCTCCTTTTTATCTCTCTCTCTCTCTCTCTCTCTCTCTCCCTTCACTTTCATTTCTCCCCTCTCTGCTTGAAACGACGAGAAGGAATATATAAAAAAAGAACAAAAAATCGAACCCCTCTCTCTTTCAGACCTTTTATCGAACAGGTCATCTGCAAGCCGAAGCCCGGGGGAGAGTAAAGGAGTTTCCCGGCGGCGATTTGTTCTGTTTTCTTCTTCCGCCCCCTCCAAGCGGGGAAGAGGCCTGGAATTCGCGTACGGGCGGGGTTTCTGCTGGTTGGCTTCTGCTCATTGAGGCCTGGGTAATAGGATACAGAGGAAGGAGGCAGCGGCCGGGATTTGGTTCTTTCCGCGATGTGACGACTTTGTTGCTCTGAGATTGGGGGGGTTTTCGATTTTATTTTGCGAAGATGGGGAAGTTGGCGTTGGGAGTAGCGGTGGGGGTGGCGGTGGCGACTTGTGCGGTGGCCGGGGTGGTGGTGGGAAGGAGATTAAGGAGTCGGAGGAAGTGGAGGAGAGTGGTGGGAGTGTTGAGGGAATTGGAAGAGTCGTGCGAGACTCCGGTAGGGAGGCTGAAGCAGGTGGTGGATGCTATGGCCGTGGAGATGCATGCTGGATTGGCCTCCGAAGGAGGGTCCAAGCTGAAAATGTTGCTCACTTTCGTTGACCGTTTGCCTAATGGGTAATCTATTTTAATTCCCCCTCCTCCCTTTGGTCCAATGAATGTCATTTCTTTTTCTGTGGGGGGTCCTCTGATTGACGAGGTCTTTCGCTTTGTTGTTACTCATTATAAGCTGGGTAGCTGGGTTGTTGTGTTCTCTGTTTTCAGCGTGGATTGATTGCTGTGTAGTCTCTGGAAATAAGGGGGAAAGGTCTGAAATTGGGAATGGTCCTCCTCTTCTTGTTCGTTCATTTGATCGTACACTTAGGTTTACCAGTCTTTGAATCAACTCCTTTTTTTTAATTAAACAGTTTGGACTTCCTGGCTTCTAATCTTATTTGCTGTCCTAGATTTGTTGTTTGCTTCTGCGTAGTTTGTGTAGTAGTAGTAGTAGTATTATTTTGTTCTTTTTGTTGGTGGCATAGTAGTTTGATTTATGTCGTTGTATTTTATTTGTCTCTACTTTTGGCGCAATTGAAATTGGTCATTGCAGGGAGAGCTTCTCATACACGTAATAACATGAGCATTTGGTTTTGTCCTTCATCAAATGAGCATTGTCCATCTACCCGGCTTTGGAATTGGGGTTTATTGTTTTAGTTGAGCTCTTCTCCTTGTTTTTCTTGCCATTTAACCATCATGTACGCCTCTCTTTTGTCATCTGAATTCCCTTACTTTGTCACATTCCTAAGGTTTCGGCTGGTGCAGTGCAAAGTTTTTATTTTTGGCTTGATGTTTTGGTCTATTATCTGTCTTCTCATTCGGCTTGTTCGAATACATTTCTTCTTTTTTCTTCTTTCAAGAAGCTGCGTTATTGTTATACTGTTCCCCACCTTTTCAAGTCATTTTGATGATTTGGTCATCTGTTGTTTTGTTGACATTCCTCATTTTGAAGAATAAATTTGCTTCTTCGGCAGATAATTATCCCTTTCGAAACTTCACTAACACAAGTTAGGGATTCTTGAGGTCTACTTTGTAATCCATTCCAAGCTCCACTTTTGAGTGGCGGGACTCTTGGATTCCCAAGCATGTCTGGCATTCGGCATCAGGGAATATAATCTCCATTTATTCTTTGTTGCTTTGGTTGGTTTAGGTCACTACTAGCACAAGGAATTTCTACTGGCCTAAATACACATGCTTTGTAGCATAGGTGAACTTCCATCTGAACTATTGAAGTGTATTTAAATACTGGTTGAACTTGTGCTTTTACTGTTCCTGGACAGCGGGACAAGTATGCTTTATGTGCACATGAACTTGGTGTGGATACATGGAGGAACACGCATAATTATCTGGATTCCAATATGATACATTTCAGAATCAGCAGGGTTTTCTATTTTTATTTCTAAGCTTTGCATTTTGTCCAATCACTGATAAAATAGCCGAGGTTCAAATGTATTTACTTAACCTGTGAAGGATATTTGTGATGATTTCTTAGGTTCTATTTGTCAATTTGCTTTTTGGTTTTGTTGTCAGGAGTGAAATAGGAACTTATTATGCTCTAGATCTTGGCGGTACTAATTTTAGGGTATTGCGGGTTCAGCTAGGAGGTACAAGGTCCTCGATATTGTCGAAAGATGTAAAAAGGCAGCGCATTCCTCAGCACTTGATGACCAGCACAAGTGAGGTAACTAATCTTTGGTGTTTTATCCGTTTCTAAAAAAGTCCTACTTTTCTCCTCCTAATTTATGGATATGCTTATATATGCCTTGGCTTGCAGGACCTCTTTGATTTCATTACATCAAAACTGAAACAGTTTGTTGAACAAGAAGAAACTGTATCTGAAGCTGCTCAATCTAGGACCAGGGAGCTAGGGTTCACATTCTCTTTTCCAGTTAAACAGATTTCTATTCGTTCTGGCTTCCTGATACGGTGGACCAAAGGGTTTGCTATTGAAGATATGGTTAGTGATAGTTTCTGTTATCTGTTGAAAGAATTTGTAGAAGCAATTAGTCAATTGAAGCCCTTTCTTGAATAATTTATGTTATTCTACCTCTTTTTTGCTGGTGAATAATTCTGGTCATATTTCTAACAATTTGGAAGATTATTGAAGCTCTCTAAATTTTGTTTTTGAGTATGGAAGGGTAGTTGCAAATTTGCAATCATAATGTGGTGGCTTAATGGTTTGTAGATTGGATGCGAAATTATTGAACGTTTACAAGCAGCATTGATGAAGAAAGGTTTAGATATGTGTGCGACTGTATTGGTAAGCTACCAGTTCTTTCTTGTCATGATGTTGTGCTTTTGATGACTGCATAGCAATGTTTCGCACTTGAGAAATCTCTTCATAGGAATACATGCACTTTTGCTTAACCATATAGTGACTTCTATACATGCTTTGGCTTTCTGCGTTTCTGCTGAGGTGGCATTTCTTCTCTTGTGTGCATATGTGGACCAATTATGATACTCATATTCTCTAGGGAAGCTAATGATGTTGTCTATACAATACCATTCACGAAATTATTGGTACCCCAAAATTGTCTCCTTTGTCCAGAAATTCATGTACTCATTTGGTTTTTTTGTTGGTAGTTTCATTTTCTCTGTACAACTTTTCGAAGTTCAATTGTCTTGGGATGTTTCCTGATTGCACGGTATGTATGGTCCAGATGCTACTTAAATTGTATAATAAATCATTCTTATACTGTTTTTATCTGACAGGTGAATGATACTGTTGGAATCTTAGCCCTTGGACACTATTATGATGCAGACACTGTCGCTGCTGTTAAAATTGGAACAGGCACCAATGCCTGTTACATGGAGAGGGCAGATGCAATCATCAAATGCCAAGGACTCCTTACATCCTCCGGAGCCATGGTATCTTTTTCTCACGTCATATGCATGGAATCACTATTACTTTTTAGTTTTTACTTTCCTTCCCTTCTGGTGTTCAATGAACTTGCTGACTTTGTGGCGCTCTTTCTAATTAGGTGGTCAACATGGAATGGGGAAATTTCTGGTCATCTCATTTGCCGAGAACAACTTACGATATTGAAATGGATATGGAGAGCCCCAATCCAAATGACCAGGTATGTAGCTGCATGCTGCTATGTGATCTTCCTACTGAACCACTTTTAGATGCCCACACTGAACATCTGGAATTTTTGCTCGCAGGGTTTTGAGAAAATGATTTCTGGAATGTATCTCGGCGACATCTTCAGAAGAGTACTCCTCAGAATGTGCGAGGAGTCTGATGTCTTTGGACCTGTCTCATCGAAATTATTGATACCTTTCGTGCTAGAGTAATTACTATCCCCTTATCATCCATCAGTTTGTTCATATCATATTATATCACAAATCTAATCATCAAAGCATTGTATTCAGAATGCCTCTCATGGCGGCAATGCATGAAGATGACACTCCCGACCTGAAGGTAGTAGCTGCCATCCTAAGAGAAAAGCTAGAGGTATGTAACATGGACTGTGCACGAGTCATTTGGATTAAATGAGACATTAGCTCACATTTTGCTTGACTTGATCTGTCCGGTTAACTTCCCCCAGATCCAAGACGTTCCTCTTAAGGCAAGGAGGCTGGTCGTCAAAGTATGCGACGTGGTGACTCGGAGAGCTGCTCGGTTGGCAGCTGCCGGCATTGTGGGAATACTAAAGAAAATTGGCCGGGATGGAACCGGAGGGATAACAGGCAGCAGAAGTAGAAGCGACGCGAAGATGAGAAGAACGGTAGTAGCAGTAGAAGGAAGCCTGTACACGAGCTACATGATGTTCAGAGAGTACTTGCACGAGGCGTTGAATGAAATACTGGGCGAAGATGTGGCGCAGCACGTCGTTCTCAGAACAACGGAGGATGGATCGTGTGTCGGGGCAGCTCTCCTTGCCGCGTTACATTCTTCTTCTTCGTCATCGTCGGAGGGCCTGCATCGTCGACGATAGTGCAGAACTGTGGATAGCTTGGGTAAGGGTACAGTTGCTATAAATATATATATCATTCATATAATCATATATATATTTATACGTATAGCAATCAGTCAGTCAGTCAGGTATAGCTGCCTTTCCTCCCCTTGTAAATGTAGAAAATTATTTTGGGAATCCCTTTTGGTGGTTATATAAATATAAGAAAGAAGATGAAGAAAAAAAAAGGTTGGTCTCCAGAAACTCTCGTCTGTTGTATCTCTTTTGCTCCATCCCTCTGTCCCTCCATGTTCACCTTCTGTAAATTTGGTTTTGGCACTCTGGTAAAAGAAGAAAAAGAAGTTCTACAATGATCATTTTTTTCATTAGAGTTTGAGTCTACATGAGCTTGAATTGCCTACCCTATAACTAAAGTGGTGTCTTCAGATGCAAGGCAAGACTTTTATCAATACTCCGTGCTACATGATCAAATTGTGTTTTCTCGTTTTGATGGGTTGCTTGTGTGTTATTCGCGAAAATTTCACTGTATACATTGGACGATTGGGTACTCAAGTCATACGATGGAGGCGATATAGGCCTGTATCAACACGAACCCGATCTGCATACCAGTTAGATCGAGTGTCTCCTATGTGGTACGTCGACCGAGCCGGCCTAACTCAGGCGTCAGGCATTAGTCAGCTACTGCTGTGGGTCTGTCGTCGTCTCTTCCAGTCCCATCCTGCATAGTTGACTCCATGGTCGTGGGGAATGAGATGGGATGAAATGACAATCATGCATTGCCACCTTTCTATGTTGGCCTTTTTGTCTTCGTGGGGCTGATTATTGATTGGCAACGTTTGGGCCATCGCCGTCCGCTGATATTTTAACATGAATGGCCCACTTTGCTCCCACATCGTTGGCTCCGAAATGAATCCTTCCCGCCGACCATTATCAGCTATGATTCGCCGATTTGAACCATTGGTGCAATGTGACGCTTTCCTTTCTCTGACTGCGACCTCTGCGGTTTACGCATTGCATAAGCATATTTCCATGCACTAAAGTCATTCATAAAAATTTGTCAGGTAAAATCTTACTAACTGTTGGGCCGCATAGTTGAGCGTGATTGGGCCTCTGGCCCAAGAAGGGAGCATCCGCAGTTAAGGCCCAATAAGGGGACCAGGTCCGATCAGAAGACCGGGTCCTTGACCGGCCGCAAACCCGAAAACAGATAAGGGCGCCTGACATAAAGCAACTGAACAACACAGAAGGGCAGGTTCCGTGAAAGACATAGAAGAAGGTGGTTATATAACACGCTAAATAATTGAGGGGGGCACTGTATCACATGGTATTCAAAAAATATACCATCATACACACAAGTTTTGAGAGTAGAATGATTTTGATCACTATAGCATGTGAAACGGTCCAACATTCAGATGTTTCATGATATATTGTCAGAAGTGACACTGACACTGAGATAAGAAGTAAACCAAATAAGTCAAGTTCAAGCTTCTTGATGCACTCTGAGTATGTCCCATGAAGTAATAAAATTCCCAGCAAATGACAATTCGTTTAATCAGTCACCAATTTCAGACTCTGATGGGGTCTCTTATGCCTGGTGCAGACACCATATTATTGAGGGAACATCTATGTTTGTAGCTGGTCTACTGTCACAACTTACCATAGGACACTGATACAAAAACAGAAGGTATAAATTATCAGTGTAGAAATCAATAATATGGAACTACATGAACACAGGTCATACAGTGAGTATGAACCACAATCGTGACACGTTGCGAACTCTGACAATCAATCAAGATCAAAGAGGTCTTATGCTTGGTAAAGTAAGGCAACGAGTAGTACACCAGATTAATGAACATGGAACCATTACAGCAGAGTTTATTAGAGGAGACATGATACCAACCAGTACCTCTAAAAGCTCCTCAGTGTCAAGTAATGGCTTATCTTGGTTGTGGCAGGTCGCAGGAAGGACGTAGGAAATTGAGCTGATCTTCAATAGTGCACATTGATTCCTAATCAAATACCCCAAACTGGAAATAAGATCCAATTCTAATCAGTCGGACTTGTCATTGAAGGAGGACCATTCAAACTTAATTGGAAAACTATTATAGAATCGACATCTTGTCCTTCTTCATTGAGAAGAAAACATCTTTTATTTCCTATGATGAGACTAGAGCACGAAGTTGATCTACATCCTTGGAAAGAATCAAAACCTTTTGCAGAATAGGGATAGAAACTCCTTTCACATTTGTATCCACCTCTTCCAACTTCTTTTAGAATCAGACTGTTTCACTACACTACACATCTCATTAGTAGCAGTAAGAATTTTCCCATTTGGACTGAAATAGAATATCAGAAGGTAGCTACATTTGCAAGACCAAATGATAAAACCAAGACTGTTGGGTAGTTGTAATACCTTCACCAACAGAGTAAACTGATCATACGGCTCCTGAACTCACATAAGAACATAAGATGAACTCATATTAGAGGAAAATCAACACCCATCCCAGACTCTCTAAACATAATCAGTTTATAGGCTGCTATGTCATTTCAAATTGTTGGACCTACCAGTTTGCAGACCAATGGCGTGTATACCAAGCTACTCAGCGACCAGATAATGAGTCACTGGACTACAGTACCATCCTCTACCATCACATACATACCACTATGAAGGAAGAGAGCCCACCGCGAGTATACCACTCTGAAGATGCCAGACTCTCCTCCTATTATCTCAACAAAAATAATTTACAACACATCTGACGTTTCCAAAGGAATTGGGAAACAAAAGTAATGCTCAATTGCATGTAACGGGTGTAAAACATAAACCACAACTTGGGTTTCAGCATTCCTGCTTGCCCTCCTTAAATCACATACCATCAAACTTTGTAACTACTGGGTTTCTGGAATAGGAAAAATCAAACCAGATTAGACCCATCATAACCAACTTTGAACCCGAAACATCCTGCTAATCTGCCTCCAATACAAGAAAACTTCGTATTTGGCATGGAACCTTGGTCTTGCATTGGATTTTCTAACAACCAACACACGATAGTGCAAATCACATAACGATCTTTCTCATCAAATAACACCCTCAAGGGCACTTAATTCAAGCACCAACAGAGCAAAACAACAAACGTGCTCGTCGGCGGTGGCTGATGACTGATGTGGCCTTCTGTTAAACAATAACATGGGGATAACATTTCCTCTGTGCTTATATGCTCTTTACATGCCTGTACAAGCACTTACTTTGCGCCCACCAATACGTAATTTGAGCAAACTGCAATGAAGTGGAAAAATTGGATACCAACTGCTGAGTAATACCACATTCATTTGGTCAGTATAAGGAAAATAACCTGGGGCTCCTTTTGCTGTATGCTGCAATCACAATTTTCCTTGCTACACTTTCCGTTCAAACATAATGAGATGCAGTCAATAAAAGTGGCCACCACTACAAAATAAATGCTTTGTACATGCAAGAATTGAGCTCCCCCTAAGATTTCCATAGACCACGCGTCAACAATGATCCAAAAAGCAAAGTATTATCATGAAACAAAGTCTACTTACTGCATTCTGAAAGGGGAGTAAAAACTACGACAACCTTACAAGACAACTGTCTAGTATTAAGGGTGTCTTCACTGTAAAATTTAAAGGATGTTTATATCGATCACAAAACAATTGAAACAGTGTCAATACTTTATTCAATACAATCACCAAATGAGTAACCCCATTGGAAACCAGAAAAATTGTCACAAGGCACTTCATAGTTCGGTGTCTCAGAGAACCACACATTTTCCTGACCACTGCAAGCATGTCCTAGAACAATTTTCATTCCACAATAGGAGGCAATTGTAATGCAAGTTTAAGAGACTATTCAATAAAATTAACCTGACTTGGTACGTGGACTAGTTTCACTTCCAGGATCTCAAGTCCTGAACTACAGCACAGAGAAATCCCATCACAATGAATGAACCTTGCTGGAATAAACTGGCACCATATAAACAATCCCCTGGTTTCCTTCTAGGAGCCGCCATGCCATCAAAGAACTCTCATGTCTGCATTTTGCTTCCGGAAAAAAAAAATGGTGCATGTCGTGGGTTTATATACTGGTCCTGATCATTCTCAAGTACCCTTCTAGTCCTATGGACTACATCAAGCACTTCCAGTCCATAAAATACTGTGGAAATGGGTGAATCGGTTATGGAGGGAAGCATTGTTGACATATCAGCATCTTGCTTTCAGAACCAACAAGGACAACACATTTTCACTCTATGAAACTGCAGAAAACCAGCAAATTTGAGGTGAGCGGAAGGGCTACTAGAACATAAACATTCCCATCTTAATTGCAGTTAGAACTGAACATCATTTCAGTTAGAGAAAAAAAAGCTTTAAGAACTACCAATCATAGATAATAGTCCCCAATCACGATTTCGATTTGAGGGAAGGCCACTAGAATGAATGAGCAAATGATCTCAATTCAATTATAAGCCGTATCCAGCCTTAACTTTTAGCACCCTTGTTTGAAAGAGGGGCAGCTGGAATCAGTAAATAATTCTATCTAAATGTTCCCTTTTTCAAGCAAAAAGGCAAGAAATCTGTTATTGATCAACGTTCTAATTTAGGGCTCCATTTAGGAAATCAATAACAATTTGAGATGATCAATAACAAGTAATAGGCTGATCTTCCAAACAAGAACAACCATCATAATTCAAAAAGTAACCATTTACAGAGTTGCAGCTTGAGAGTTACAGTACATGTATGGTCTAATCTCTTGCATTGCAGAAAAATATATCGACTTTATGAATTGCAATCCATCGTATATAAAAGAACCAATAGAGAACTGTTAGAAGCACCATACAATATCAGGTCAGCATCCGTCATCCTGAATTTCTAGCGTAAACTAGCCCAGAAGACAGCAAATCCAGCTTATAAACAAATCAGAGCTTACTTACTCGTTCACATCCACATATTCGTTCAAAATCAAGCTGGCTTTAGAAGGCAGCAAAACTGGAGACATGAGTCTCTAGAATCAATATTCTGTTAATCAAATGGAGAAGAAAAGGAACAAAAAGATTGGGTACAGTTAAAGAAACCATGTATTTCAACTTTTCAGAATCAACAGATGGCTCGGTATTAAATCCAGACAGCCTCAGTTCCACATGGCCAAACTGTTTTCTTGGTAAATAACAAATTTTCAGTCATTACTCCCACCAGACTAAGACTACATTCGGACTTTGAGTTCATAGCATACGATAAGGCGCAACCAAGTCAGGACTTTGTTATCAGCAACTTGTTTTTTCCATCAGAAAGTATTCCCCACTGTTATACTATCAAACAACTCATTTCTAGGAGCAGA